TGAGAAAGGATACCCGCAAAACTTTTAAAAGGTGATCATTTTAGGGGAGAGTTTGGCATTTGGTTGGATCAGAAACTGGGTAGGGGTGAGGTTTTTCACTGTGTTCTTTTCTCCCTCCCTCCTCCTTTCCCTCCTTGATTTTCATTTTTGAAACGTGAGTGCAGTACATATTAAAAATTAGATTAATGAAAAAAAATCAGATACCACCCCTCCCCCCATTTTGGTCCCACCCCTCCCCCCATTTGGGTCCTATACTAAGTCTCAGGCAAAGCTTTGAGGTAGTTTTAATTACCATCTCTGCAAAGTCTTATGGGATTTTCAGTTCTTTCTGGAATGTAATCTTCTTAGGTATAGGCTCCTCAGGCCCCTTAGGTGAAGAAAATTCTTTTCACTGGATGATTTGCCATTTCATTTGGACAGGTTCTCTGTCCTTTCTTAGATTGTATGTGAAATAATCAGTAATTGTTAAGGCTGGTTCTATCACTAAGTGAAGGTCTGTTTCTTATCCTGTTGTATAGGTTATTTGTGGGATTAGTCTTGCTGGAAGGCATTGGGTTCCTATGATGAGTGAGCTTTTCCCCTTCAGTTAATATCTAATATTCATGCTCAACTTAATGTGGTCAAAACAGAACTCTTGATAATGAGTCCCAACTTCAGGGCTCTGTGAAACAGGAAAAAAGACGAATTATGGTTAGTTTTTTTCAGTCAAGGAAAATGAGACATTGAGAAGTTGTGACCTGTGAGAAGTCACCTAGAAGATAGGAATAAGGCAGGGGCAGGTACAGCCGTGATCTCGTGGGTAGAGCCCTGACTCCCAGACAGTGCCACCTGTCTTAACCATTGACAGTGTGAATCCTGCCATGTTGAGGTAGGGACTTAGCACAGTGGATTGAGCCCCTTCAAACGAGGCTTATTAATTTTTTGGACCTTATGTAATTATCCTCCCAAAGAGATTCTCAAGTTTACTTCAAGGGTGGATTAGTTTGGACATACAATTTGGGAGCAGTGATCCTACTGTCAGTGTCCACACACAGGATGCAGAGGAATTGCCAGTGATAAAATTGTTACCTTTTGTGTGTGATTTAAGATAGTAAATTGAAGGGAATGCTTATGAAGTCATGCTTATGACCTTGAACTCTTTCAGGTTGCTTTTCCATAATGAATAGAATACGTGTCTTCTGCAACATTTTTTAGAAGCTTTCTAAATGCCTTGGCTCTAATGCGTTAATTGTACTGCATTTCTACTTTGGTTTCTAAGGTTATATTTGTAAAATGGGGATGATAATCTTTGCCATCTTCACAGGACTGTTGTGATTATTAAATGGGATGGCAGATGTGAATGTGCTTTTTGTAAAACAGTAAAGTGCCTTGTAAATGCAGAGATGGCAGTACTCGTATTAATTAGTTCTCATCTGCTCCCCATGTGTTCGTGTTATTCCACTCTGGCCCTTCCAGGTCCAGTCTTTTCTAGGAATAAGACTAGAAGGGTCATATTAAATTCTTGTATTTCTGGGACTTCCCTGGTGGTGCAGTGGTTAAGACTCTGCACTCCCAATGCAGGGGGCCTGGGTTCGATCCCTGGTCAGGTAACTAGATCCCACATGCATGCCGCAACTAAGAGTTTGCATGCCACAACTAAGAGCCCACAACTAAGACCCAGCACAACCAAATACATAAAATTAATATGTATTTAATTGAATACTTTTATTTCTGTACATTAGCTTTTTTCCCTCTGTGTTTCTTTCTGTACATACTTTCATCTAAATAAGGACAATTTTGAATAATGGTATACACAGAATTTTATCATAAACAGTCAATAAACCATACTGTAGAGATGTAATAAGAAACTTGTGCGTAATACTGTGGACACACAGGCTTTGTCAGTAGATCTGTGTTTTAAAATCTAGTTGTCAGGGACTTCCCTGGTGGTGCAGTGGTTAAGAATCCACCTGCCAGTGCAGGAGACACGGGTTTGATTCCCTGGTCCTGGAAGATCCCACATGCCACGGAGCAGCTAAGCCTGTGTGCCACAACTACTGAGCCTGCGCTCTACAGCCCTTGAGCCACAGCTACTGAGCCCAAGTGCCACAGCTACTGAAGCCTGCATGCCTAGAGCCCGTGTTCCGCAGCAAGAGAAGCCACTGCAAAGAGAAGCCTGCACACCGCAGCGCAGAGTAGCCCCTGCTCGCCGCAACTAGAGAAAGCCCGCACGCAGCAAGGAAGAGCCAACACAGCCAAAATAAATAAATTTATTTAAAAAAAAAAATCTAGTTGTCACCCTATATTGGCTGTATGATCTTATATATATTATATATAATATATAAACCCTATATTGGCTGTGTGATCTTATATATATTATATATAATATATACACCCTATATTGGCTGTGTGATCTTATATATATTATATATAATATATACACCCTGTCTTGGCTGTGTGATCTTATATATATTATATATAATATATACACCCTATCTTGGCTGTGTGATCTTATATATGTTATATATAATATATACACCCTATATTGGCTGTGTGATCTTATACATATTATATATAACATATACACCCTGTCTTGGCTGTGTGATCTTATATATATTATATATAATATATACACCCTATCTGGGCTGTGTGATCTTATACATGTTATATATAATATATACACCCTATATTGGCTGTGTGATCTTATATATGTTATATATAATATATACACCCTGTCTCGGCTGTGTGATCTTATATATAATCTCTTGTAGATTTACTGTGCTCCTGTATAAAGTGGAAGATAATAATACTTGTTTTTTTAACATTGTTGAGGGCTAGATGAGATACCTCTTCTTTTTTTTAAAATTCATTTTATTTATTTATTTTTGGCTGCGCTGGGTCTTCGCCGCTGCACGCGGGCTTTCTCCAGCTGCAGCGAGCGGGAGCCACTGTTTGTTGCGGTGCGCGGGCCTCTCATTGCGGTGGCCTCTCCCACTGTAGAGCACGGGCTCCAGGCACACGGGCTCAGTAGTTGCGGCTTGCGGGCTCCAGAGCACAGGCTCAGTAGTTGTGCGGCATGGGCTCAGTTGCTCCACGGCATGTGGCATCCTCCCAGACCAGGGCTCGAACCCATGTCCCCTGCATTGGCAGGCGGACTCCCAACCACTGCGCCACCAGGGAAGCCCTAGATAGCTTTTTTTAAAGCACATGGAACATTACTTTCACTGAACTTATTAAACTAACCTCATTTCCTCAAACATACTAATTCTAGTTCAAACATAATTGCTTGATATTAATAACATTACCATTTTGGTTCTAGTCCTTTTAATGTAAGTTACATTGATAAAGATAAAAATTTAACTCCACAGTTGTTCTAGATACTCTATTTTAGATCCACTGGGATGAAAAATGAGAAAAAACCCACGTAACTGTGCGTTATCTTATTTCTGGCTTATGTCAGTATATGGGAACCTCAAAACTCATCAGGTATTTCAAAAACGGTATGCATTTGTTCATTTACTCAGTATGTTTTATACATACCTACATGGCACTATTATTAGGCTTTGGAATACAAAGATGAAAAAAAATAATCCGTGCCTGTATTGGAGGTCATCATTTGTTGAAGGAGACAGATAAATAAGTAGTTGTAATAACAGCCTCAAAAGTAGTGTGATAGGTGTCTGCACGGGTAGCCTTGAGAACCCAGAGGAGGTGCCTCCCATCTCTCCGAGATGGGGAATGTGTATATAGGTGTCCAGGTGTGCTTCCCAGGGAAGGTGTCATCTGAGTTGAGTCTGGAGAGAGCCAGAACCTGGAGCATAAAGCCTTTTCTTCCAGGCCAAGAAGATGGAGTTCGTTTTAAAATGATGAGGGATCAGTGAATATTTTTATTTAGAGCAACATAAACAGATGTGGAACTTAGGATAATTACCTAGATGCATACCTCCAAGCAGTGGCATCAACATCAATTTTATTATCCTCTACATTGCCATCATTTGTTTAATACCTATTATATAACTGACTCGTGTGTATATTATCTCATTTAATCCAGCACCCTTTGAACTAGATATTATTGCCATTATTTTATAGATGAGAAAACACTGGGTGATAGAGGTTAATAGAACAGTTAGTGACTGGACACACAAGAGAGAATGTGTTTGATTACCTGTCATTCCACCAGTGGGATGTTAATGGAAGGTAAGATGAGAGATGATGGTCTGTTGCTCCTTAGTCTTCCACTTTGATGTTTCGTAGTATGAACATTTCACTTAACTTAGTTAGATTCTAGAATTTAAAGATAACATTCATGCTCTACAAGACAGCTTGTAACCAATGTCTTTTATTTTGTCTGGTGCCCCAGAAACTTTGGTTTATTCTAACACTGCAGGGACACATGACTGGTAGACTCATGGAAGGAAAACGTATCCATATCCAATGTGGAACCACATTTTTTTTTCTAGACTTTTTCATCTTGCAGGATTTTTATCCCTATCCTTTAGAACTCTTACAGGGTATAAGCTGCTTTATTCTCCATTCCATCTCCTTTTCCTCTGAATAAACTTCTCTTAAGGAAAGATTTGAAATGATACCTCATTAGGATTTGAGATGTTTGAGTTGAATAATTAATTCTCAAAGTCTCATATATAACTTGGGACCTGGCTTCTCAGTATGAAGGATAGTTTGAAACTAGATTTTGTCTTTCTGCTTCATAGTGTTTGTATAGTGTATTGAAGCGATGGAGTGAAAGGTAATAATTCTTAGGAAGTTAAAAAAAAAACTGATTATTAATCTAACCACACTCCTCATTAGCTTTCTAAATGCTGATAAAATTGGCAATTTGCCCCTTCATTCTCAGCTCTTTAATTGAAAGTACAAATAAAGTACCTCTTCTCTTCTAGAAATATGGCATGGAAGCTGATTAATTTTAAGACATATTTGTATGTAACTAGAAGGGGTACAACAAAGATAGGGTATGCACAGTTTTGAGTCGCTCTACTCACCTTTTACTCCTTTTATTTCAGCTCAATCTGAAATCGAAGTTTCTGTGTCTGCAAGGAATATCAGAAGGTTACTAAGTTTCCAGCGGTATCTTAGATCGTCACGCTTTTTCCGTGGTACCAGCGTTTCGAATTCTCTAAACATTTTAGATGATGATTATAATGGACAAGCCAAGGTGTGTATAGCTTTTTTCAAGAAAACATTAATTTTTAGATAAGTTTAACGAAGCCTTGTTTTTCCCATATGGTACTGATTTATAGAGGCTTTTTTTGTATGTGAAATCAGTTGAACCCATTTTTCAGGTTTTCCCTTTAGAGCAGCTAGCTGTTCATTCTATAGTTAGGTATTACAGAGCAAGGAACATTTCTGAAGTAACTAAAATAATGAAAATGTTTTCAATTTATTATAACAGCAAGTAGATCAATAGAAAGTTAAGCTATAAGATCACACTTAACGCTGGGAAGAATATTATGGATTGTCTGATCTAATTTCTGTATTCTGTAGCTAAGAACAGTATGGCCTTAAAAAAAAAAAAACAGAACACTATGGCCTAAATAGTATAAGGAACTTGGTTGAGCTCCCCCAGCTGGTTCGAAGTAAACCCAGCACAGGAAGACTCATGACTTTCAGTCAAATGATTTTTCATAATCTCTTGTTATCAGTGAGATTTTTGGAAGATTTAGATTTTTTTAAAAATTAAACCTGGTGATTGTGTGCATTGTTTTCTTTATATAGTTTAAAAGAAGTATGTTAATGAAGGTGGAAGTTAGTTGAGGTTGTTTTTGACCAAATGAGGATTTTTTAATAATCTTATGTTTCTAATATTTGTAAAAGTATTCTTTGACTTAATACTTACAGGCCAGATGTTGTCAGTTTGTGTAGATAGGGTCGGGGTACCCACTCTACGGTTATACTAAAGTGAAAAAATTTGCCTCCCAGTTTGATAAAACAAATCAGTGAAAAAGTACTGATGCTTTCCTTAAATTTTAAAATGTTCACAAGTTTTGCTTTTTAGAATGAGAATATTGTGTGTATCATTGGCTGTTAGTATTATAATCTCAACCAGTAGTACCTTAATGTTGCTTATGTCTATTAGGTCATAAATGTATACGACAGTGAAGTTTTGGATACAAAATAAAATTTTTTTCTTGAAAATAAAGTCCACAAAATTTTCAGGTTACAAATATATGGTGTAAAAATATCTATTTGAGTTTTAGGGTTGTGGGATTTATTTACTTGGCTGAAACAACCATCAACCTAAAAATTAATGTTAAGTGCTATTGACTCTTTTATAAGGATATTTAAAGAATATAAATAAATACCCACAAATTGGGAGTGTATTTTCAGAAAACGAATAACAAATAATTTGAGTGTAGTACAGTGTAAGCGTCTGGTGCCTGGGTTCCAGAATCAGACCACCTGACGTCAGATCCCAGCTCTGTTACTTTCTTGCTGAGCAAGTTAGAACTTTTTGCCTCTTTCCCCATCTATAAATGAGGATTGAAAACAATGCCTGCTTGATAGTGTCGGCATGAAGAGTAAGAGTGAGTAAAGCACTTTTAACAGTGCCTGGGATATAGCAAGTGTTCGGCTATTATAATTTACTTTTATTCGATTTTAAAAATCTGGTTTCTAGACCATGCAGTGTATGAACCACACTTCTGTGATGTTAAGTTATATTAGAATTCTTGACCGTTCATGGGAGTATAGGAATAAGTTGAAGGGAACACTAACCTTACCTATACATTTATTAACTGGAAGACAAAATAATAATTGTTTTTTCAAATGGAGTTTATCCCTCTGGACATATTTTGGAGCCGTTTGGAAAGGTCATGATTAAAGGGAGAATGATACTTAACATTCCTTAAAGTAAATCAACCACTTCCCATTTTCATTAACTTCCCTGTGGACTGTCTACAAAAGATAGAGAATGTTACTGAAATTAAATTACAGTAGGAATGTTTGGTTTTCATTTCAGTGTATGCTGGAAAAAGTTGGAAATTGGAATTTTGATATCTTTCTATTTGATAGACTAACAAATGGTAAGTGAAGAATTTGACTTACTCAAGTTAATGTATTCTTGAGATTGCTGCACTGAAGGTACAGCCGCTGGTGAGCTGCTGCTTTCATTTACTTAGGTTAGGAGCCCTCTGCTGGCAGAGGGAGCATTGTTGTGTTGCTTCTTTAGTGACTGACTTGTAAGCCTAGAGAATCAATCTAAAATTTTATTTTTTGATTATTACTCTTAGTAGTAATCAAAATTAACCACTGTCATCATCACTTGGGCGTCCCTTATTAATGCTACTGTTGTTAATAACCCAAGGCGAACATCACTATCTCATCATTCTTCTTTTTTTTTTTTTTTTGGTTTCTTTTGTACTGTAGTCACAGTGACATGCTCTGATCTTGTATTCCAGTTTTGATAGCCCCAGATATGTGGTAGATGAATGACCTTTTGAGAGATGGCTTTTCTTCTAGCTCTGGCTCCTAGGCTTTCCTTTCTCTGCTCACTTGAGAGATGGTGTGTTAATGATCAGCAGCAGTGGTTCCTCCTGGCACTGCTTCTCCATGGCGGGGTCGGGTGGGGTGGGAAGAGCTCATGGCTTCTTGAGGGGGCGTATCAGAATCTACGGAAAGTATGAGTACTTTGAAAAAGACAGGTGATTCTTTTTTTTAGATGTTGGGGGTAGGAGTTTATTAATTAATTTATTTTTGCTGTGGTTCGTCTTCGTTTCTGTGCGAGGGCTTTCTCTAGTTGTGGCAAGCGGGGGCCACTCTTCATCACAGTGCACAGACCTCTCACTATCGTGGCCTCCCTTGTTGCGGAGCGCAGGCTCAGTAGTTGTGGCTCACGGGCCTAGTTGCTCCTCAGCATGTGGGATCCTCCCAGACCAGGGCTCGAACCCGTGTCCCCTGCATTAGCAGGCAGACTCTCAACCACTGCGCCACCAGGGAAGCCCCAAGACAGGTGATTCTGATCTGTTTACCTCTTTCTGAGTTTCGTTTTGCTTTGCAGGAAGGGTTCATTTTTCTTTATTCTGTTTGGGAATGGGAACAGAATTCCCTTTGAGAATCATTCTTTATTTAGTGTGAAATTTTTGGCATTAAAAAAAAAAACGTGGGCTTCCCTGGTGGCACAGTGGTTGAGAGTCCGCCTGCCGATGCAGGGGACACGGGTTCGTGCCCCGGTCCGGGAAGATCCCACATGCCGCGAAGCGGCTGGACCCATGAGCCATGGCCGCTGAGCCTGCGCGTCCGGAGCCTGTGCTCCACAACGGGAGAGGCCACAGCAGTGAGAGGCCCGCGTACCGCCAAAAAAAAAAAAAAAAAAGGTGGTACCTGTTGTCCAACTAGACTTTGCCCCTTTTGCCTTAATATGTTTTAAATGAAGCAGAGTGGAAAGTTCACTGAGAGGAAGTCAGTTCTGTTGGTTGAGAATGAAATAAATATGTGATTCACTGCTATACTTTGAAATCACTTTTTTTTTCTTATTTTACTTTGGAATAAAGCTCCTTTCCTAAGAAAGCCAAATATGGGAAATGGACAAGCAAATAGAACTGTATGCATCTTGAGAACAGCATGGGTCTAGCTTTTTAGTATCACTACGTCATTCGCTCTGAGCTATATGGCCAGGCATAGTGAGGATACCTTTGTGATCACCTTCAGGTTGTCTGTGGACTGCTGACCGAAAATAAACTGGAGCGACCCAGGCACAGGTGTAAAGACAGTGAAGTTCTCCTCAGTGGTGGAGCCTCCCTCCCGCTTCCCTGCCTTTTGTTTTTCCCCCTTTTCTGTTCCTACTCACCTCTCTTTTGCCCTCTGGTGACTAGTGTCTGTTCCTCTCCCTGCCCCCACTTGGGCCTGTCCACACAGAAAAGGCTCTAATATCATTTAGGGCCTATCGGAGGCTCTTACTATCAGCTGTCCTTCCTTGCAGCCATCCCCTTTTTGAAAATATAGGTGCCTCAGCTTCTTCTAGATCTGGGAAACTCCCCTTTCCTAATGCAACACAAATATTGCTTTAGTCATTATCTCAAGGTAAACATAGATAAGACAGTGCCGCCCTTAACACCTTCAAGGTCTAGCCTCACATAAACACTAAGAGCTCATAGCCTATTCTTAGTCTCCTGAGACACTTGTCACCCACTGAAATAGTTGATTGTTTTTCTCTAGATTTTATTTTTAAAAAGAACATACCTGCTAGTCAGGGGACGTGGCGATAGAAGTGGAATGAGGGTGACGGTGCAGCATGGGCAGAAGTCATGGCCACTAGTCTACGTCCGTTAACTTAGACCTTGGCTTCCCTTCAATCATCTCACTCCTTTTTTGTGGAGAAGGTGGCCGAATGGTTTCTTCTTGCAGTTGTTAGGGGTTAGTAGAAACCACCCACGGTTAGCCACCCACCTGTGCCTTTACAGATGGTGATATCTATGTTCAGTTCACTACAGTCACCCAAAAGTTACAGGAATTCTGTACGTGAAGGGATATTATCGGGAAACAAGTGGGCAGGAGAAAAGTCCTTTAACTTTCATTATTTAATTGGATCTGCTTTCCTTTCAAAGCTGCTTAGCCTGAAACGAATTCTGGATGATATACGTACATAGTATCCAAGTATATAGTTTTCCCTTCTTGCTGTCGATCTGGTGTGTTCTGTGTTTCTTCCTCTGGTGACTTCCCACATGATACTGTGAGGAAGGCAGGGAAGAAACAAAACTCTGATTCCCAGCTTGTCCACTGCAAAGTGGGAAGTGGTTTCTATCTGGTAGGATATATTTGATGCTGCCTTTGCAGGAATGAGTTAGGTTACATCAGATAGCAAGATAGGGCTTGTCTCCCCCAAAAGTCACCTGGCGCATGAGGACCCTCGTTGCCAGGCCTGTGTTATAGCCGTAGCCCAGTCCTGCCAGCTCCCAAGTATTGAAGAGAATCACATCCTAAAACCTGTTGAGAGCCGTAACACCTTAGGCAGGTCTGTCCTTTCATATATCATTATAGAAAGGGTAACTTTTCTATAAGTACAGTTTTCTTTTCCAAGAAGGTGTTTCCATTCTCACATAAAATAACTGCTTCTATGCCTGTTTCTTGTTTAACGTATCAGCTAAGCATCATCACTTGCTTTGAAATGTTTCGTTGACTTGTGTTCTTATTTACTGGTATTAAGTCAGTTGGTATCTTATAAACTGAAAGTGAGAAAAAACGTTGCATACAGTTTTTCATTTTGATATGGGCGGTACGCTTTGTTAGATTGGCTCTTGTCACACTCCCCCAGGCTTCTTGGTGGAGGACGTTAACATGCGTTTCTTACTGCCATTCGCCTGGATTCCAGACGAGGGTATCTTACCATTTGATTGCAGCTTTCTTAAAACTTATTCTAGATCCTAGAAATTGGTAATGTATTTCATTAGGTTTGGGAAACAATTTGGGGAGAATCCTGCGATTACCTAAATACACAGAATGAATATACATTCTTTTTTTTAAATTGAGGCATAATTGACATAGAACATTACGTTAGCGTCAAACATGCAATGTAATGATCTGCCCTTTGTATGTACTGCAAAATAATTGCCACAGGGGGTCTAGTTAACATTCCGTCAGCGTACATAGTCACGGTTTTATTCATTATGATGAGAATTTTTAAGACCTTCTCTCGGCAGCATTCAAATACCCAATGCACCCATTTTGTCCCCTTGCCCCACGTCTGACAACCAACCGCCGGTCTGTTCTCTGTATCTTTGAGCTCGAGATTTTGTTGTTTTTGTTTTAGACTCCACATATAAGTGAGATTATACAGCATTTATCTTTCTCTGTCTGACTTACTTCACTTAGCACAGTTCCCTCAAACTCCATCTATGTTGTCACATATGGCAAGATTTCCGTCTTTCTTATGGCTGGGTAATATTCCACTGCATATACACCACGATTTCTTTATCTGTTCGTCCATCGATAGGCCCTTAGGTTGATTCCATGTCTTGGCTGTTGTAAATAATGCTTCAGTGAAGATGGGGGCGCAGGTACCTCTTTGAGATAGTGATTCCATCTCCTTCAGATATATACCAGCAAGTGGGATTGCTGGATCATAAGGTAGTTCTACTTTAAATTTCTTGAGAAACCTCCATGGTTCTCCATAGTGGCTGCACCAGTTTACAGTCCCACCAACAGTGCACCAAGGGTTCCCTTTTCCTCACATCCTGGCTAACGCTTGTTATCTCTTGTCTTTTTGATAATAACCATTCTGACAGGTGTGAGTTGATATCTCATTGTGGTTTTAATTTGCATTTCCCTGAGGATTAGTGATGCTGACCAGCTTTTCTTGTACCTGTTGGCCATTTGTATGTCTTCTTTGGAAAAATATCTATTCAGATTCTCTGCCCATTTTTTAAAACCAGATTGTTTTTTGAATATACATTCTGAAATATCTCTATATATGCCCTAAGAAAAGTTGGTTGTTAACCGTGGTTATGACAGAAACATAGCTCACTTCTTCACAAGTGATTCTAGACCCCATGGGTTCATGTTTTTACCAGTAGAGTGTTACTAGGATTGGAGTGCATGTTTACATTTAACTCCTTAAAGGGAAAAGATCTGAAATGGTTTTTTCTTCCTGTGTGAAGGTGATGTGTCGGATGGTTTTTAGGAAGACTCTCTCTTGGTTGCCACATCCTTCCCACTGTTGCTTATGCAAACCTTGTTCCAGTTCGTTGACTTTTTTCCTCATCTGTGGGCTTCTAAACAGTTGTTCAGGCAGTTTTGGATAATTAGTTTAGCCTGATAGTTCTTTGTAATTTTTCATAAATATTATTACTACAAATTTTCATTGTGGGACTAGTTGGGTCTTTTATACATGTTTGTAAGAATCATAGATTTTTTTCGAGAATACCAGAATCATGTTTATGTTATTGTTATTGTCTGAATGCTGGCAGTAACTTATAAGCTCACACACCTTTAAAACCTACAGTCTGTTTAATTGTTAAATAACATAGCATATGCAGCCAAGGCGCTCTGCTCTGGGACACCCCCATTCAGAGCAGTGTGGTGGAGGGATGGTTATGAGGAGGTGAGTGCACATGTTTTAGGTGCTTTGGGAAATTGAATTAAACATACTCAGTGTGGACAATTTTCAAAGTTTTCTATCAATTCTAATTATTTTGGTGTCTTAAAAAGAAAACTTATCTATTCAAAAATGTTTATCTTCCAGTTGTTTGGTTTTAGAAAAATAAAACCAAAAAATCCTTTTTTCTTAGAATAGAAAGAACATGTGATATTTAAAGTTCTAAACTGGTAAAATTAAAATAAGTTGTAAATTTTAGATAGACAAAAAGTAGGACTTAGTACTCTTTATGTTTTGTATTCAAACCTATATTTGGAAGTACAGTGCAGTTACATAAGCTTGTATTCCTGCTAATATCTCCTCTTCTTCCTTTTTAGGAAATAGTCTAGTAAGTTTAACCTTTCATTTATTTAGTCTTCATGGATTAATTGAGTACTTCCATTTAGATATGATGAAACTTCGTAGATTTTTAGGTAAGTGATTCTAACCCATTTAACAGTAATAAGATTTGTACTGGTACTTGTTTAACTTGTCTCTCAATTATATCAGCTGTTGCTCTGAAACTAATCACCCCAAAGTTCGTGGCTTAAAGAAAACACACATTGATTTAGCCCTGAGTCTGCAGGGCTGTGGAGCGCTGCTTCTGGTCTGGCTGAGTTTGTTCGTGCCCCCGCCCTTGACACCCAGTGAGCTGCACTGCGGCGTCGTGGGCCTCAGCTGGGACACTGGGCCCGACCCGGCTCAGCTCTACATGATCTCCTGTTAAATTAAAAGGAGGCAGAGGAGTTTGGCACCATAATAAAGCCACTTTAAAAACAAAAAAGGAAAAAGATTATTTTCCAACAAGCCAAGCTTGTTCAGAGAGCAGTGGCCAGTTGGCAGGAGAGCACTGGCACATCCAGACCCCCGAGCCCAGCCCGGACACTGGCTCGCCTTGCTGTCCGCCGCATCCCGGTGGCCAGAGCCCGTCAGGTGGGCGGGGGGGGGGGGGGCATACCTCTGGGTGGGGAAGCCGCGAAGGCCCAGTGCCGCTGGGGGCTGGGTCAGCTTTGCTGTCAGTCTCCCACGTCAGCCCCGGCTTTCTCGCAACGATGACACAGTTTCTGTCCTTTCCTAACTTTTTGAAGGCTAAAACCTTAAAAGATCCAGGTCCATTGCACTTGGGTCTCCCTTTTTCTGATCCCAGAAACCTCCTGACAGTAAACGTCAAAGATTATTTTGGATACGTTTTCATGTGCAGAGTGATACTTAAGAGCACTCTGCTAGGGAAAAAATTAGAGTCTTTCACCGAATAAAGGAAAACGTTAGAAGAAAATTAGCATGAGGATTCTTGTTTTTGTAACGAAGGTGATATTTTCTTTCCTCTTAATTAGCAAAACTAAGATAAATTTATTACCTAGGACGTTGAGAAACTTCTAATGCATATTCATTTACAAATTGTATGCCTGCAATACTCTGCTAATATCTGTTATAAAACACATAAATAGATATTAACACGAGTATTTAGAAAACTATTTTAAAGGATGGGATCAAAGTACATACAGAATTCTAATGCTCTTTGCCTCTCACCAGTGAGTCGTAGCTCACCACCTTGGGGTTGGCTCACCATACCTGGAGATCACTGGATTGAGTGATGGGCTGTGAGGGCCACAGTGCGGGTTTGGTGGCAGTGGGGACGGCTCTACCCTCTCATCCTAGTCTACTTTTTCATGGTAGCATGATACAGACACTGAGCAGAGAAGGCAGGATTAACACATCATCCTTCCCTACTACTGAAAAACTAATTGCAGATCTGAAACTCACCTCACTGATGGAGTATCCCAAGGATCGTGTTCACATTCCCCAATATCTGTATTATTTTAGCCTCATAATGATTTTTGTCCTCTGATGAATTCCTAGTTCCTAGAACAGTATCTACTACGATGAGTATTTGTTGAATGAATTGTACAGTTTTTATTAAACTAAGAAACTCTTTTTAAATTAAAAAAAAGTCAGAGGAGTGGGCCACAATGATAGATTGACATTTTAAAAGAGAAGAAAAGGAAAAAAAAATTTTATAATTTTGACATGAATACCTTCATGCCATTTAAAGAGTTTCGAACAAGAGTCAAAGTGGTGTTGATGCCTTGGGTATACATGTGAGTTATGATAAGTGATTATCATCTCCCCGAATCAGAACAGTTAGCTGATAGCCACATGAGAAGGGTAAGTGGAGAATGCATAATTGTTGCAATTTTTGTATTTGTACATGCCTCCTGTTCGCAGTTAAATCTGAGGTCTTTTTTTTTTCTTTGACGCAGTTATGATCCAAGAAGATTACCACAGTCAAAACCCTTACCACAATGCAGTCCACGCTGCAGATGTTACTCAGGCCATGCACTGTTACCTAAAAGAACCTAAGGTAAGGTGTTGGCATTTACAGTCAGTGAAAGTCCTGAGAAAATGCCCTTGATTTAATTTCAGATACTTTTCCTTAAGTTAATGTTTTCATCAGACTTAAAATCAGAAGGTTCCTTCACAAGAATGAGATGTGGCTGGATCAGGTTTCCAGGCGCGGCTGTATTTGTAAGTTGACAGCTAGAGAGCTGGGGTGATTGTCGAGAATGAGGCTGGAGAAGCCCAAGTGAGGGTCAGGCTGTACGGCCCGGCCACACATGTCAGGTCACCTGGCGTTTACGCTGAGCTCCACGAGGGCAGGGATGACACTCGTCAGATCCCGTGATGAATAGGAAGCTCCGGAAGGGAAGCAGGAGACTTTACAAAGCTATCCTGGCTGTGGGGGGAGAATAACTCAGACAAGACCAGAATCATGCACGCTGCCCGTCAGGAGCTGTTTCGATAGCCTTGGGGCAGGAGAGAGGCAGACGCTTGGTGAGGTCTCTTGGGAATCAGAACATGGAGGATGTGGTGTCTGGATGCATCTAGGGGGGTGAAATAGGGAGAGGAGTCGGTGGAGACTGTCCCCGGCAGCTGAGTAGCAGGTGGGAGTCGCTGTGAGGGAGAGAATGTAGGAAGGGAGGGAGGGCTGGCAGAGAGGATGAGCTCCATTGTGGGCGCGTGCGGTTAAGTGTCTTCGCGCCATATCCGAATGCAGGGGTCTAGTAGAGAGCTGGAGAGGAGTCTGAAGCAGAGCAGAGAAATCGGAGCTGGGGACCAGCTGTAGATGTTAATGGAAGCCGTGTTTGCCCATGGGCGTTTCCTGTTCCTGGAGGCTGTAAAGTTACATCTGCCACCCTTAGCCCTGCCTCTAAACTCGCCTCCCCAGGGATCTTAGTTCGGCCGGATGTTGGGAGGGAAGGAGGCTGACTGAGCCAGTTGGTGCTAGTTGATGCTCTGAGAATATAGCCATGTGGTTGCCAGTCTCCTGATTTTTCAAGAGATGTGGAGTATGTGAAAGTACCCCAATTTTTAAAGTATATTATGACTCAAAAAAAAATTAACTGTATTGTGGCATCATTTATATGCAGTAGTAAAATGCATACATTTTATGTGTGTAGTTTTGATAAATGAATACGCCCATGCACCCCAATTTTTTAATTAAAGTTTAAAACAAACATTGGGCCAAGCCTATAGTGTCTCTGTTGAACAGTCTTGCGGGAGAAATTGGTAAGTAATCACCATACAGCCAGGGAAGTGGAATGATGGAGCTAAGTGCCCCATGGGACACAGAGGAGATAAACCTAGTCCATGGGGCTGTGAAGGCCTCACCCGCTGGCTGGCCACGCCCAGCCCAAAGCCAGGGCTGGGGAGCGCCGGCACCCAGCAGGACCAGAGGGGCAGAGAGTGCAGGGCGAACGTGGTGCAGACACTGTCTTACCCATGCAGCTCTGGTAGCACTAGTTTTAAACACTTTTTGCCTATGTAGCTCTGATCATTCTTACTTTGAACACTTTTCTTAACATACTCAGTGAACTCTTCAGTCAAAGCTTCAGTTAAGGATACCGATAAAATCACTAAAATTTAAAATACAGCAGTTCCCTCCTCCCTTATCATAGAGATAAGAAAATAGAAATGGAGTCACTCAGAGTTGACTGTACCTCTTTTACTTCCCGGTCCTTTACATGGCATCGTATTGTCGAGTGTGTTCATTCATTTGTTCTGTCCGTTTTCCTGGCGCTAAGAATCCAGTGGTAAACAAGACAGGAAAGGTCCCTGGCCTTCAAAAAGTTGCCCTCCCAGTGGGGGGCAGGGGGGCGGTCTTTAAACAGATGAACAGAACTTTGACCTCTACTGTGGTAAGTGCTGCTGTGAAGTCATTTACTAGGGTGATGCGCTGGGGAGTGACTGGGTGGCTGGCGAGAGCTCACAACTTCAGACAGGTGGTCGGGAACCATGTAAACCGAGAGGCAGTGTTTGAGAAGGAGACGGCCACGGAGAAGAATCCAGGTGCAGAGGGGACCGTGAAGAGAAAGCCATATATACAGTGTTCAGTGGGAAACCTGCTTCCATTCGCTTGTTTAAACACCAGCTTTTATTTTATGGATTGGTGCTGTTATTGGGTTTTTTTTATTGTTGTTTATTTTTGGCTGCGTTGGGTCTTCGTTGCTGCGCGCGGGCTTTCTCTAGTTGCGGCGAGCAGGGGCTACTCTTCCTTGTGGTGCACAGGCCTCTCGTTAAAGTGGCTTCTCTTGTCGCGGAGCACGGGCTCTAGGCACGTGGGCTTTAGTAGTTGTGGCATGTGGGCTCAATAGTTGTGGCACACGGGCTCTAGAGCGCAGTCTCAGTAGTTGTGACGCATGGGCTTAGTTGCTCCACGGCATGTGGGGTCTTCCCGGACCAGGGCTCAAACCCGTGTCCCCTGCACGGGGGAATCCACATTGGCAGGTGGCAAAGACAAAAATATTTGAAAACCAAGAAATTATTGAAAGTTCCTTTGGTGTGTACTTGTATCAGCTCTAACTTTAGTATTTATTTTTTATGTCCTCAAAGCTGAACCTCAGAATATAGATTATAATTTTGTTCCAGTTGAGCCTAACGGCACCTAATAGCAACAGTCAGAAATGGGGATGACATTTGTCTTTTTTAAAAAAATCTAGTTTTAAAAATTGCATTAATGTCATTGACTTCCTTGTCTTTGTTAGGAAACTCATAAAGTTTTTTTTTCTGATGAAAGATTTTTGTAACAAGCAGAAATGTTGCATTTTTATTCAAAATTTTTTTTGCATGTGTGATTTGTTTTCAAACTTAGAACTTACTTTTCCTTCACAGAACTTTAACAGCTCAACTGCTGCTTCTCATGTTTCTATTTTTAATAGTTAACTCTTTAATCTGCCTGAGACTGTTTGAGGTCATGTGTAAATCATACATTAATTTTTAACAATTCTGGATTATTGCCTTCTCCCAGGCTGGTCCACGTCTGTTCTTCTGCCAAAGTTATCGTAAGAATATAACACTTCTGAATATTGCTTAACAAATCGCATGGTCATAATATATCCACAGCCACGCCTGCATTCTTAGGTCAGGAGGGGACGTGGCTTTACGTGCAGGGTGCTGCATGGAGTGCGCCTTCTGCTCATCTTGATTAGTAAGCAGCACTCTTTATTTATTTATTTTGGGCCACATTGGGTCTTCGCTGCTGCGCGCGGGCTTTCTCTAGTTGCAGCGAGCAGGGGCTGCTCTTCGTTGCGTTGCGCGGGCTTCTCATTGCGGTGGCTTCTCGTTGCAGAGCACGGGCTCTAGGCGCGCAGGCTTCAGTAGTTGTGGCTCGTGGGCTCAGTAATTGTGGCTCACGGGGCTTAGTTGCTCCGCGACATGTGGGATCTTCCCGGACCAGGGCTCGAACCCGTGTCCCCTGCATCGGCAGGTGGATTTGTAACCACTGTACCACCAGGGAAGTCCAAGCAGCACTTTTAAAATCTTTTATTTTTTTTAAATGCTTTTACCTCTCCTAAAGAGGAAATAATTGTCTTCACCGTCTTCTACCCATTCATTGAGTTTCTCTATATACCATTTACAGGTAATACAAAAATAAATAATTTACATTCTCTGCCCTCAAACAGCTTACACTATTTTAGTGGATTCAGGCCCTCCGACAGTGGTTTTTTTCAGACCAAGATGAACTTGGCGCAGGGGATGGAAAAAAAATCCATTCTGGCATAGAAAGAATATACTAGAATTTGAATCAAAAATACTTTTATCTCATATTTTAAAACTTTTCGATTTTCATCCGTGTTTTACCACGTGCAGTATGGGTTGGCTCTGTGTTGTAATCTGTAAGTAAGTATACCTACGTGGGTGGCCTATGCTCAGAATACTTCTCTGCTGTTAGGGCACAGGACCCTACACGTTTAGAGAGCACTGCCCCAGGGTAAAGCTAAACGGGCGCACGCTGCGCTCTGGCAGTGTTGGTGTGGCAGGATGTGGAATGTGCTGCAAGAACGCAGCCAGTCATTTGTGGGCGGGGGCTGGGCGAGGGCTGGGCTGCAGGCGGAGAACGGAGGTGGGCTGGGGAGGCGCTGGTGGAGCTGGGCTTGCGACACACTCCAGGTGAGTGTTTTTTGTCGTTGAAAACTTCAGTCAGGTAAATAAGCTTATTTATTGTGATTATTTTATCAAGAATAGTAAATGACTGTTGAGAGTAAAATTACAATGGCTAGTGTACAGGATGGCTTTTCCTGAGATGAATACACTGCGTATGCTGTCCTGAACTGTCCATCCATGGGGAGAGGATTTCACTACCAACTTGACGTAAACTTCTGCTCCATGATTACTCAGTAGCTTCCTTCAACATTTGGGACCTCAGAAGTAACCTTGGATTTGGATCCTTGATTGAAACCCAGTAACCAATTTATTGGTAAACACACACGCTCAGTCATAGGTTTACAGTATTGTACGCTTAAACATCTGTTAAAAGGGTAGATCTCACCTTAAGTGTTCTCACCATGATAAAAATGTTCTTAAAACCTCATAGGCCGTCTCTGACTACATTAACAGAAATACTCAAATCTCTGTTTGTTGTTTGAAAACTTTTATTTCTCAAAAAGGTGGTTTATACTTTAGCTGTCATCTTAATGATGCTAGTTTCCAATGGAGGATGAGCTGCATCCACGCACTCCACGTGGGCGGGGACACCATTATACCACGCCTGCCGCCAGGGTCGTGAGGAGACCCGCCGCTGGCAGGCACTCCGTGGCCTGGATGAGCGGCCCGAGAAACATGGCGGGAGGAGACCGCCGACACTCAGTCGAGGCTAACTTAGAACAGCTACTGTAATGGCGCAGCGCGTGTTTCAAATATGTCTGTAATCAGTTATTCCTTGCCGCACTCCAGCTTGCCAATTCTGTAACTCCTTGGGACGTCTTGCTGAGCTTAATTGCAGCTGCCACTCATGATCTGGATCATCCAGGTGTTAATCAACCTTTCCTTATTAAAACTAACCATTACTTGGCAACTTTGTACAAGGTTAGTGCAATTTTATCCTCAAAATTTAATATTCTTGCATTCTAGAAAATGTGTCATGTTTAAAGAAGTGAAAGGAGTAAATAAATTCTCCATGAACGTTCAGATTTTAATCAGATTAATATTACTTACAAATAATTCTTTATGTTCAGAAAAAGACTTACCATTTACTCAGAGATGCCCTTTTCTTTTTGTAGAATACCTCAGTACTGGAAAATCACCACTGGAGATCTGCAGTGGGTTTATTGAGAGAATCCGGTTTATTCTCACATATGCCATTAGAAAGCAGGTAGGTTGGATTAAGACAAAATTAATTAGTTATGAACTGTAGAAATTAAGTTGCAAAAACAACCGTATAAAGTTTTTAAAATTATGTTGTTATATTCAGGTGTTCCACAATTTTCAGGTAAATTATCTTATTTTACAAATTTACATCAAAATTTTAATAATTTAAACCTGTTCTGAAATACAGTCAGTAGTAATTTTTTTCAGTGAATTTTTATGAAGGATCACTCATAGATACTATAAAATCCACTCCAAATACACAGTGGCTCAGTCATGGTTTACTGCTTATTTATGTAAATGGTATTACATATTTCCATTTTATGCTCTTTTGAATAAAACCATAAGTTCTAGCTGTAAAGGTAAATTGGATAGAAAGTAAACAATCTGTATAAGAAACAGATTCATTAAAATCTGTTCCAGGAAGTTTTCAAAACCGATAAGACGTGAAAAGAATGCTTTGTATCCTCAACAGCATAGTCCTAGAGTCACTGCTAGAGTTATAGGATAAAATAATGAATTGAAAGAACAGAAAATACTACATTTTTTTTAGAAAATATCACTTGATGTTGAGCAGGCCATTTGAAAGGCTAATAAAAAGCATTCATGTAAATGAGCCCAATATGATAATGATGGTGGTGGTCAACAGAATCTCATGTCATGGGTCCACAAACTGAAGCTTTTAACGATGCCTCCCCAAGAGAAGGTGCACTTAGGAAAACCATGTCAGTGGATGTAAACCACCTACTTCTAGAAAAAAGGTGAGGCGTAAAAATACATGTGGGTATCAAGATTTAAGTTACTGTCATTGCTCTTTCCTTTCTCCCTTTCACAATTTAAAACAACCTCATAAAAACACAAAAATGTTTTTGGTAATGTCCGTGAGAAAAAAGCTGGACTTTTTATTTTTTTAAATCTGTATTCATGGATACCGTTTGGAGTTATGACAGTACTTCTGGTAAGTAAAATTGTTTCTTGTCATAGTACAAATATAAAAACTGCTTAAACCACACAGTGTTTGTATATATAAGTTCTCTTTTTCTTGACTAAGGCAGATTAAATTGTTTGCTTCATTATTCCCTTTCTATCGTGTTTTGCATTTGATGATTAACCCTGTTGAATTCTCATATTTTAATACAAATAAAAACTGAAAATAAGGAATACTGCATAATAGCATTCTTTTATGTTTGCTTAGGGTTTGTTTTATTTACTGTTCAATACTGTGAGCCTTTTATTTTTTTATTTTATATTTTTTTGAAGCAAGGAATACGACTTTATTCGGAAAGTCGGCAGACCAAGAAGATGGCGGACTAGGGTCTCCAAAAAACCATCTTTAGAGCCTTTTAATCTATTGACTGCTCTTTACTGATCATTATACAAAGATAATGTTTGTGATGGCCCATTGAAACAGAAGGAATTTTTTTAACATTTCTCTTATTTGACTTGAAACAGTTTTTTCTTAAATACCTTTATTGGAGTATAATTGCTTTACAATGGTGTGTTAGTTTCTGTTTTATAACAAAGTGAATCAGGTGTATGTATACATCTGTCCCCATATCCCCTCCCTCTTGAGCCTCCCTCCCACCCTCCCTATCCCACCCCTCTAGGTGGTCACAAAGCACCGAGCTGATTTCCCTGTGCTATGCGGCTGCTTCCCACTAGCTAGCTATTTTACATTTGGTGGTGTATATATGTCCATGCCACTCTCTCACTTCGTCCCAGCTTCCCTTTCCCCAGCTGTGTCCTGAAGTCCGTTCTCTATGTCTGCGTCTTTATTCCTGCCCTGCCACTAGGTTCATCAGTACAGTTTTTTTAGATTCCATACGCATGCATTAGCATACGGTATTTGTTTTTGAGGCGGTTTTTTAAATGATATAATGTATTTGTTATTTGTAGTAACATGTTACCTTTTCCCTTCCAGGAAATTTGGATAATTAATTCTTGAATTCGGCCCTGAAAGCATAGTTGAGTCTAAACTTTATTAAATTGGTGGAACTTCATCAGGTTTTAGTCAGACATCTTCAAAAGTTTGCAGAAGTCAGTGGGAATGGGCTGTTCTTCCTCCATCTGACCCTCCTTCTGCCTCTCAGATCTCAGGCACCAAAAAAGAGTCCAAAGTTGTTCACTGCATCCCAGCCAATCTTACATAGACTTTCTTAGGCATATAATTCCACCTTTAGGCATTCTTTTTGGAGTGTTTGCATATTGGTATTTTCCTACCAACTCTCTTGGTTTTAGTTTTGATTATTTTAGTAGGTTTTTAAAATGCATTCTTTGAATCCATCTTTTTGGTAGGTTAAAAGTTGAATGGCAGTTAGAATATCTTAGGGCCCTGTAAAGCTTTCTGAGTATTAAGACTTAAGGAAAAAATAATCAAGAAGTAGCTATTCAGTTGAAAGACTTGTATTTCTCTTTATGTTTCTCTAATTCCAGACAACAGATGGAGGCTCAGATAGGCGCTCTGATACTGGCCACGGACATCAGCCGGCAGAACGAGTACCTGTCCTTGTTTAGGGCCCATCTGGACAAAGGCGACTTACATCTGGAAGACATCAGGCATAGGCATTTGGTTTTGCAGGTAAAATGAGCTTGGAAAGATTCTATTTCTAGAGCAAATCACATGACTATTAGAATAAAAATGAAATATTCTCGTGTAGTCTTCTGAGTGGTTAAATCCGAGGGAAAGCATTTCACTTTAATAAGTTCTCATATCTAAAAAATGAGAGAGAAGTGGCTGATTCCTTTGTAGCTTTCTGGTTAGTACAGTCCTATGCCTGCCTCTCCGGAATTACCAAGCGTGTATAATTTGCTTAGTAGGCTTTCAGTGTTTCTGCAAAAATGATTGTTACAACTAATAGTATCGTAAAATCAGTATAAAGGATAACAAATTTCCTGTTGCAACGTTTTCTTTTTCTTTTCTGAGGTGTTCTTTTCCCCACTATTAGCGTATATTAAGCTTAGTAAAATTGAAATTTTACCTTCTTCTTAAGACAACTTTCATATTTTGCTTTTGCTAGATGGCTTTGAAATGTGCAGATATTTGTAACCCATGTCGGACCTGGGAATTAAGCAAGCAGTGGAGTGAAAAAGTAACAGAGGAGTTCTTCCATCAAGGCAAGTTACAGTATTGAGTGATAGTCTAGTCAGTTCATTTTTTAGCATCATATGAATAAAATAACTCAGACAATTGCAGAGTCTAGCAGAAGGTGCCTGATAGTTTTAGTGACGATTCATAGTGGATGTACATATAACCAATAATGCACAAATTGAGCATCTGTTTTGAAAATCAGCAGTTCTCTTTTGAAATGATCCGATGTGTGTGTAGGCATTTATGAATTAGACGTGGAGCCGGCTAGAAGGTTTTCTGTACAGAAAGATTTTCCTGCCTTTGCTCCATCCTTGTCTTGTGTGGAGGGTGTGGCCATATGACCATGTAAGACATGTTTTGTGATTTAAAGCCAGGAACCAAGGATCTTCGTTCCATGCACCTTCCTTTCAGAAATCTGAGTTTTAAATTAAAATGCTGACAGAGTTACAGTCTTGGGATAACACCTAGCAAAAGTTTCCCACCGTCTCCACTTAAAATAGGATGTTGGCTTGGCAGCCTTTTCTATGTATGAATAACTTAAAGTTTGAAAAAGAGCTAATTTAGGGCTTCCCTGGTGGTGCAGTGGTTGAGAGTCCGCCTGCCGATGCAGGGGACATGGGTTCGTGCCCCGGTCCGGGAAGATCCCACATGTCGCGGAGCGGCTGGGCCCGTGAGCCATGGCCGCTGAGCCTGTGCGTCCGGAGCCTGTGCTCCGCAACGGGAGAGGCCACAGCAGGGAGAGGCCCGCGTACCGCCAAAAAAAAATTTTAAAAAAGAGCTAATTTAGAAGGCATCCTCTCATGAGGATTGTGTTACATTATTCCTAAGGAATTTACAGGTAAGATGAAGACTTTCATTATATATTTAACCAATAGGTATATTCCGCATTAAGAATTCTTTTTTTCTTTTTTCCATTTCTAGGAGACATAGAGAAAAAGTATCATCTGGGTGTGAGTCCACTTTGTGATCGTCAGACCGAATCTATTGCCAACATCCAGATTGGTAACTATGCATACTTAGATATAACTGGTTTTTAAAATGCCACTGATTTTAAGTTTGCCAAGAAGAGAGGTACATCTGAAATATCAGTATTAAAATTATGCTTATTTCTAATTTTTAAATAATTTAAGAAATTTTATTCTGGTTTTTCCCCTTTTTTGGCTCTTATAAATTACTCTCATTTGATTTTAGTTCCTCAAAAGCAGAGCAGGTAGCAATAACTTTCTGTTCTGAACTGGAAAGAATGCATCATTTTCCCATGTGGGAGCCTCACTGGCGTCTTTCTGGGACCGCTGGGCCTGACGGTCGTGGGAAGACCGGCTTCCACGACTGCCGGCTTTTCTCTCACCGCTGCCTGCTGGTTGAAGCTAACTCTTCAGCACCTCACACAGGCCCCTTGCAAGCTGGCCTCCAATTGTCTCTTCCGTCTTCTCCCCAACACCTTCCTCCTCGTTTACCTACAGCAACTCGGGACTCCCTGGGGCTCCCCAAATCCCTGGTGCTCCTTCACTCTGTGCCTCGCCAGGCCCCCCTTCTGCCTCATAGCCTCCTCTTCCTTGAGGGTCCACCTCAGATGTCACCCCCAGAAGCCACCTTTCACTCTTCTCCAGGCAGCCATCACCCCTCTTGAGGCGCTGGATGCCTGTCGTCACAGCTCCAGGTGCCGACCTGGCCTTTGGAGGGGTGTGTGTCCCCAAGGCCAGTGCTGCCCCTCAGGGCGGGCTCACTTGAGAACTGCTTGTTGAGTGGACTGTGACGGTACGAGAAAGCACGATGAAGGGGCTGTGATTCAAGAACGTGCAGCTTTTCGTAGACGAGCCGAGGGAAGATGGGCCAGGTTTGGGGTGCGGTGGGTGGATTGCCAAGTGGGGGTCACTCAGAAGGATATGGAGGGACGGGCGTAATTTTGGTGGCCAATACTGAGCAGGACCTCTCAGGACTCGGTTGACAATAGTGAAGTGTGTCCAGAAACTTCGGAGAGAGAAAGTTTCTAGAAATTCGGAAGGTAGCACAATACTGTGGTTGCTAATACCCGGAAAAGCGGACTGTGCTGGAGGGTCAGAAATTCAGAAACAGAATTCTGACACTGTACAACAGTTGCAGAGGATCCTCAGGGGGAGGCCGTGGGTAGTAACGATCTGGCTGCACAGGGAGCAGTAGAGATGCGGGAGAGTGAGGCCCAGGCCTGCGGGGACAGCGCGGGGACGCCGAGTCCCCCGGGAGCTGGGACTGGCCAGGAGCGCGGGAGAGGGAGGTGGGAGGGGAGGGGATGACGGGACAAGAAGCCTGTCTGCTCTGGCCTGGTCCTCAAGGGCATAACTTTCGGATGCGGAAGAACAGCTGAAATGTGGGCAGAGGGGGCCGAGTCGCAGAGCAGGGGTTGGCTCGTGCACTCACTCCAGCTTACTTCGTGCCTCAGTACGTTACTCCCGTGATTCGTGAGAGAGGTTGCAAAGGAGGTTTAAAAAACTGCAATTTTTAAAAGGGACAAGAAGCTAGATCCCTTAAGCCGTTCTTGTCGTTTCTGACCTTGTCAGCGTTGGGCAGTTGTGGACCCGGTCCCCCGGGGGGCAGGGATAAGGTTGAAGGCGGTGACAGTTGACGTGGGCTGACCCCTCATGGCACCCTAGGACACAGGCACTGCTGGTGTTCTTTTCCACATAGTTTGCCCAGTTTATACAGAGAACAGGTGTTGGTCTTTCTGACATCAAATCCTAGGTAAAACGGGGCTTGCAGAGGTCCTCTTCCTAGGGTAAGTCAGGGGACGATTAGAATGAACTCCGTGCTCAGCAGCAGTTACTCGGAGCCAGCATGTGGTCAGCAGGTAGCAGTCGTGTTTAATTAACACGGTTTTCTTCTTTGGTAGGAACACTAGGTCCTGTCACATACCAGGTGAGGGTGAGGCATTGACACAGCGCCCTGTGGTATCTGAGGAGAAGAGAGAGAGGCGCATGGGCTGGGACAGTTAAGGGGGTTCACGGGTGGATGAGCAGCTCACGAGTAGCGTCCTGCCACCTGGCTGTGTCTGCGGCCCGGCCCGTGCATTGTTATCAGGTACCTAAGACCTAAAAGAATCCTGGGTACCATAGAGCCAGAAGTGAGAGCTGATTTGTTGGATGTGAGAAGCAGGATGCAGCTCTCAACCAGTTGCGACAGTGGGAGAATCAAAGAAGATGGGTTGCGTGAAACCTGCGGTAATAAGGTTCTGCATTTGGGTGCAACACTCCGGCTGCTCACGACTTGACTGTGGCACCTGGAAAAGACAGGGCTCTGGCGGCTGGCTCAGCCTGACCCGGGGCTGAGGGGGTGGCTTGGCTGCCAGAAGCTCTGACTGCAGTGATGCCGTTTTCCCGTGTCCTCTCTCTCCTCACCAGACGTAACTCGTGGAGAGCACATCTTGTCTGTTTGTCCACTGCTTATCCGTGGCCACCCCAGAACAGTGCCTGGCATCTAGAAGGTTCTCAGTTAACATGTGTGGAGGGGATGGAAGAGATGAAAGAAAGAAATGGAGGACTTCCCTGGAGCCCTGGTCCGGGAAGATCCCACATGTCGCGGAGTGGCTGGGCCCGTGAGCCACAACTTCTGAAGCCCGCGTACCATAACTACTGAAGCCCGTGCACCTAGAGCCCGTGCTCCACAACAAGGGAAGCCACTGCAATGAGAAGCCCGTGCACCGCAACGAAGAGTAGCCCCCGCTCACCTCAACTAGAGAAAGCCCGCACGCAGCAACGAAGACCCAACGCAGCCAAAAATAAATAAATTTTTAAAAAAAGAGATGGAAGAAAGCCTTATTTCCAATATCGTTACTACTTCAGATACCATAATCTGTACACTTGAAAAAATTCAATCATCAGACCGTATATGACTTTTCTAATTAAAAGTAGTGGGTGCTTTATTTCCAGTGAGATTTTTTTTTGTTAGCTAAATGGAACCTGTGTTGTCTGTGGTCCATGTGGTCTTTTGCTGAAAAGAAAAGGTGTTAGAGATGAAGAAAATTTTAAAACTGTTAAACAGTGATAGAATTTGAATGTACATTTTCCTGTCGTTGATCAAAAGTTTAGGAAGACAATGTTATTTGCTTCTCCTAATAGATGTGATCTGATTGTTAAGGTGAGGCTTCTTTCACCCTGTGTAAGACACTATGTAGTTTTAAGTCAGCTGTAATGTGAGCTCGAGTGCTGTGTAACCCAGAGATGCAGACAGGCCCGAGACCACTCCTTCTCCTTTTCTGACTGAATTAAGGGAGATCGATTGTAGGAAGTGTCTGTAAAGTAGGCCCCCTGGTACACTTTCGATGTTCACTTTCCTAATTGTCTAAACTAATCTCCTCTGTTCGTTTTAGACTCACACTTTGTGGCATGCATTTTGGCTTTATAAATCCTGAGATTCATAGCGGGCCCACTGTGCTCATGACCAGGTGTGACGATTACCAGCCCGGACGGTAGGGCAGCCGCGCCTCAGTCCGGCCTCGTCACCCACAGCCCCGGGGGGACCCCCTTAGCCTTGGGCACACTGTGCCCTGCTCCTCAGGGTTGAGAGGGCCGCCGCAGGTTTGCTGAAATAGAAGGATATGGTTGGTGCAGCTGAGAGGAGTCGTCAGAAGAGATGGGCTGTGTTTGTCAGTTCACCTTTACTTCAGGTTTCAGTAAGTTGCCTAAATAGATTCTTCAGAGAAGATATGTAAATCTGCACACACATCTTTTGAAAAATAAGAGGTAATATTGGAATAGGACTTAAGAGAGTAAACACTACCTCGACGTTGTAAAGTTTCAGAACATCCACTAATACCTTTTCTCTTGCTGTCTCAGGTTTTATGACGTATCTCGTGGAGCCTCTGTTCACAGAATGGGCCCGGTTCTCCAACACCAGGCTGTCCCAGACAATGCTCGGACACGTGGGGCTGAACAAAGCCAGCTGGAAGGGACTGCAGCGAGAACAGTCCAGCAGCGAGGACGCTGACGCTGCATTTGAGGAGCTGAACTCACAGTTATTACCTCAGGAGAACCGGTTATCCTAAACCGTCCCCCAAGTCAGTGGGCAGACTGCCTCTGGAGCTCGTTAGAAATGTGAATGGGGTCTTGAGGTGAGAGAACTTTACTCTCGGCTGCTGAGGGAAGTGAATGACGCCAGCATTATTTATTTCCAAGATTTCCTCTGTTGGATCATTTGAACCCACTTTTTAATTACAAGACCCGAACACAGCAATATGCATTTGGCTTTCGTGTGAAACCTTGAATATGCAAAGCCCAGTGGGAGCGAACCGAAGGGAATAACAAAGTTTTGCAGGAAGTTTTGCGGTGGCCCTCGTGCTTCTCGAAGCATCATGAAACTTGAACCGAAGCCTTCAGCAGAAATCTTTGGAATTTAACCCGTCTGATGCAACAGTGTGTATCTGTACCTTCCACTAAGTTCTCTCGGAGAAAATGGAAATGTGAAGTGCCCAGCCTCTGCGCCTCTGGCCAGACTTGATGTTTACAGACCAACTCTGAAATATTGGTTCTCAATCTGCCTTGGAGCACGATTGTGAAGGAACCACTAAGAATTTTAAAGATCAAACCTAAACTGCAGCCCTTTCCCCCGGTTTGCCTTTCTTCTCCTTTGGATGCCACCAAAGCCTCCCATTCGCTCTCCTTTTACTTTGTGCACTGGAAACTGAGCATTTATCCTAGAGTGCCGCCGAGCTTTCACTCCAGTGCTGTTGGGCAATGCAATTTTTTTTAACTCTTAGTTTTTAATTTGGGGCGGGAGGGGCAGAACCCCAGTGTCCTAGCTGTATTATGATTCCGCAGTGAAGACGTTGCATGTTGTTTTCACTAATGTACACTTGACCTGCACATGCAAGAAAAGGGTGGAATGTTTTAAAACACCATAATCAGCTCAGGGTATTGCCAATCTGAAATAAAGTGGGATGGGCAAGTGTGTCCTTCAGAGCAAGGGTACTAAAGTCCCTCTCGCTGCAGGGAGTGAGAGGTGTGTTGTGTGTGTGCGGATGTGTGTGTGGGGCACGCTCGTGCATGTGTGACTGTGCATGTGTTCTATTTATCCATGTGGGAAGGATTGGGAACGTCAGCTTTTATTTATTATTTTAGAATGTGACATAATGGGCAGCCACACGTGGGGAGGGGAAGGGAGGTCAGCCGTAACAGATCGCTCCAGATGCCTTAAACTATGCACAAAGCTAAGTGACCAAACTTCTTGTTTTGATTTGAAAAAAGTGCATTGTTTTCTTGTCCCTCCCCCTTTGATGAAACGTTACCCTTTGATGGGCCTTTTGATGTGAACAGATGTTTTCTAGGACAAAATCTAAGGACTAATTTTAAACTTACAACATTCCACTTTTGTAATTTGTTTTAAAATGTTTTATGTGTAGTAAGCACAACTGTAATCTAGTTTTAAGAGAAACCGGTGCTTTCTTTTAGTTCAATTGTATTTCCCTTGTTACTGTAAAGGACTGTTTATTAATTATGTTTACAAGTTTGTTGCAACAGTCATTCTCTTGGGAGAAAGCTTGAGTGTAAAGCCATTTGTAAAAGGCTTTGCCATACTCATTTTAATACGTGCCTGTTGCTGTTAACTTTTGACGAATAAAAACCTATCTTTTCACATTTTCATCTTTGATATTTACCTGTAAGTCAGTCCGTTGGAAACCACGACACTAAATTACTAGGGAAGCAAAGAATTCGCTTGTCGGCTCCGGCATTCGCTCGCCACACATTTGTTCAGGCAGAGCTGGGCGCAGGCGGAGTCCTGCGGGCTCGTGTGCTGCCTGCACCTCACGGGTGAGCAAGCTGAGGCCGGGACGTAGTGGACAGAGTCCTGACAGCCGGGAGAAGTCGGCTCTGAGCCCAGCCTCTTGACTCCACAGCCCTTTGTTCCCACGGCGGGAACCTCAGGCCTTGCAGGTACTAAAATACTACTCGTATTGGCCTTTTAAAAGTCAAGTAATAAAATGGCCACTTAATATTACTTTCGGTATCAGCGTAAGAAAGGTACCACTGGGCCTCTCCTGGATCCTCTCGAGTCCATTTCATTAGAAGGGATACGTGTAAACTTTGAACTCAAACATAGTCATTATTTGCATAGAAGAGTGATGTCGGATAGAAATACAGTGTGAGCTGAGTCAGTGATTGTCAATTTCCGAGGAGTCACGTTTAAAAAAAAGGATAAAGAAACAGCTGGAATTTTAATAATATTTATTCCAACATATCCACAGTATTTTATCATTTCAATATGTAGTCATTATAAAAAACTATTGAGATGTTTTACATTCTCTTTTCTGTTACAGAGTCTTTGAAATCTGGCGTGTATTTTATGCTTACAGCACGTCTCGGTTCGGACCAGCCATGTTTCAGGTGCCCGGTCTCCACATGTGGCTCGTGGCCACCACACTGGACAGCTGGGTGCAGAAGTCCGAGGGCTATGTGGGGAAGGTCAGTTGGCCACTTATACGAGGAGTATCATCTTGGCACATCTGACGCATCCAGTGTCTGATAAGGAAACTTGCCAGCTCACACACCTAGCATGTCAGCACATGGAAAGTAGAACTGTATCTCATAGCAAACTCACATTAACCAATTTCACAGAAACTGATGGTTTTTTAAAGCGTTAATAGTTCAATTTACAGTGAGAAATATAACTATCAGTCGTTCTCTCCCTTTAGGCAGACGTTCTCGGGAAGCCAAACGACGATCAGCCGGTTGCTTGAGCATGGATTCTGAGCAAGGGAAGCAAGTCACCTCACGCATCCTGCAGGGACGTACCTGCTGCTACTCGTTTGTGGACCACGGCTCCCCTGAACGAGGCTACAGATTCTCCGCCAGGAGCTGCTTCTCCACGCCTGCGTGATTGGCACATCCAGCAGACAGACCTTCAGCCTTGCATCAGTTGAGCCTGCCTGGGCTCCATCTGCCAGTGTATGATTGCTTTCTTCTTCTTTGACCTGTTACATGTTTCTCACTGTTGGATATTCAGAGGATTGTCTTCTTATTGCCATTCTTCAGGGGGAGACACCTGAGCGTTGCTCCCATCTCCTGCCTACACATAAAATAAACCCACTGCAAAGGTATGTTTTGTTACATATATGTGGTATTACCGGCTATAGCCCTGCTTCTTCAACAGGACCTATATTCTTTGAACATCGGTTTTCTAGAAAAATCTGAGGAAACAGTACAGTAATTTAGAAGGTCACAGTTTAAATGAGTAATTCAACATTATAGAAGAGAATGCAAAATTCACAAATTTTTAAGATAAAACAGGAGACTTCAAAGAACTGTTGAGCGTTGCAGCAGCCCTTTGGGGCTCTGGGCCGGCCCTTAGTCATGGGGGGGCAGCTCCTCTGCTCTAGGCTGAAGGTCCTCGGAGAGAAAATTGTGGTAAGCCTTAGCTTAACAAAAACAATCTGGTTCCTGGTCAGTATCTGCACTCAGTAAGTGTGATGGTTTATAATGATCCTCTTTACATAAAAGAAGTGAGTATTTTATGTCCTTTGTCCAACCTGGGCAATGTGTTTGTACCTTAGGTACAGGTTAGAGGTGCAAATAATTCTTTGAAGATTCCTGTAACAGCCTTTCTTTCCAAAAATCTTTCTTGACTCTTAAAGCTTTCGATTTTCTTAAAACTTTAAAATTTTCACATTGGAGGTTTACAGTGTTTTCATGTGTACTTTTTTTTTTTTTTTTTTTTTTTGCGGTACGTGGGCCTCTCACTGTTGTGGCCTCTCCCGTTGCGATCACAGGATCCGGACACGCAGGCTCAGAGGCCATGGCTCACGGGCCCAGCCGCTCCGCGGCATGTGGGATCTTCCCGGACCCGGGCACGAACCTGTGTCCCCTGCATCGGCAGGCGGACTCTCAACCACTGTGCCACCAGGGAAGCCCCATGTGTACTTTTTTTAATGTATAAATATTTTGTTTAAATCTCCTCCCAATCAGTATCTCCCGCTTGGGACAATGACCGACAGCTAATCTGCATTCAGGAATGTTTTTAAATAAATGTGACATTAATCACCATACTAGCAGCATGTATCTGAAACACAGAGTTATCCAGATATGTGCAAGACTTAGCCTGAGCCATTCCTTGTTTGCTGAGGATTTGCAGACAACCTGTGTCCTCTGGAAGGCCCCCAGTTGTCCACTGTCTCCAGGGGAAGTGACCGCTACTTGCGGGGGACTGCCAGGGGTGCACAGCCATCTCCTCCACCTTTTTTTCTCTTGTGCTTAGCGTAGGGCTAGCGTGAACTGTGCCGTCAGTAAATGTTGAAAAAATTAACTTGGAATTGTTTCCTTTTTAGCTATCAGTCTACCATCATGAGCAATTATGTGGAAACTAGTCTGTCGATGGCGAAGTCACGTGGTCACAGTATCCGAGTTCCTGTTGTGTGCAGAACTGCACTGGATGTAATAAAGGTATTAAAACTAAATACCGAGACGGGGTCTCTGTTCTCAAAATGTTTGGGTGACAAGATGATGTGTGGAAAGCATCTGTTATGTAACATGGGAGGTTTCTGTATTGCACAAAATGAGTGTAAAGTGTTGGGGTATTGTCGAGAATGAATGATTTTGTTGGGTTAATGATGAAAATGACACCATTTCCAGTCATTATTGAATCTTACTAACATCCGTGACTGGTAAAATCATTTAGCTTTCAAGTTTGATTCTAAAATATAAGTCTTAGATGTTCACTGTGATACTTCTCGTAAAATACTAATAACTTTTATCAATCACAGTAACATTTTTTTTTTACTTTTACAGCTATGCTAAGTCATCCTGAACCTATCCTGAAGTCTGGTAGAATGGTCAGGGAAAGAGAAACACCCCCATTTTTAGTATTAGATTCTTTTTAGCTGTATTTTAAAACTGAAGCACAGTGACCTATTGGTTTATTGCAGCTTTCCACTGGTCCCATCAATAGTCTTGTTAAGAAAGTTCACCTTATATTACATTTATGTTTAAGCTATGCATTGTTTGAGATTTTTGAGCATAAATTTGAAGTGTTTCTTTACTGTTGAGCCGCATCCTATAAAGAATCGGGAGGCTGCATGGTATCCCAAGGTGCTTTGTCTTTTTTTTTTTTTTTTGCGGTACGTGGGCCTCTAACTGTTGTGGCCTCTCCCATTGCGGAGCACAGGCTCCGGACGCGCAGGCTCAGCGGCCATGGCTCATGGGCCCAGCCCCTCCGTGGCATGTGGGATCTTCCTGGACCAGGGCACGAACCCGTGTCCCCTGCATCGGCAGGCAGACTCTCAACCACTGTGCCACCAGGGAAGCCCGGTGCTTTATCTTTTGAAGAAAGTATCATAAAGGGATGTGTTTAAAGTTCCTAGTTGAACATTTGCAAGAAAGTTTCTGAATTTCCATCTAAGAATCCTCACAAGATAGGGGTTAACTTTTCCATTGTAGGGAACAGAGTCTCACTCAGATCACTGCAGGGTAACTGGAGCTTTATCTTGAGGATTCATGTTCACGATAATGAGACAAACCCCATGAAGGCTGCAGAAGCAGAACCTGGGGGTCTGAGCACTCTGAGATGTAGCTTCTTGCTGCGTCTGCTTCTTCCCACACTTCTCCTCTTCCTTTCTCTTCTCTACCTTGGAGTGTCTGCTTAGAAAGGCAGTGAAGTTTTTAAAGTGTTGTCTTTATGGCTAGATCGACTGTGTTAAGGTCTTTGGTCATGTATTAGCGCGTCACCTCATCTTCTGCGTGGCTCCCTAACCTATAACATGTCTGCCTCGTGAAGGTAAAGTAATGTCCTGACACACGGTTCAGTCCCAGTGTCCTTGTTCGTGTCCTCGTCATCTGTTTTGTATAAACTGCTCGTGGGTATCGTGGGTACACGTGTACCTCATGGCGTGCTTATTTGAGCTCCAGGTACCAACTGTGCCCCTCGCTCAAGGTTTCCTATTCAGATTCCCAAGGGAGGACTTGGACCAGCTCGTCAGGGCTGCGTCCTGAGTCACACATGTCTCTGCATTGGCTGGTGCTCCCCTTGCAGAAGGCAGTCTGCTCCGGAGCTGCGTCAGAGAGATCATCGTGCAGAGTGTCACGTGCTCTCCACCGTCACCGATCACACCTGCTTCTCACCCTTTTTCATCCTCTGATAGCAAGCATGACTGGCCAGTGAAGAGGGACGGCTCCTAGGCCATGTGAACAGAAAGCTGTTCACAACTCTGGTAAAAATCCTGTTGTGAAGAGTGTCTTTCTCCCCAAATTACGGCTTTTCCAGCTGGGAAGACAGTGGTTAGGAGGGACAGGACTGCCCTGTAGCGGCCACAGCAGTTTGGGATGGAATGGGAGGTGCTATTTGGATCATCTTCTTTAGCTTCCTGGTAATGTCTAAATTACACTCGTGTTATTCTCTCAGCTTAGAGAAGGAGCTCTCTGACCTTTAGAAGAGGTTGGAGAATCTTCCAGGGGAGAGAAGTTTGAGAAGCTCCAGCTAGAGGAACATTAAGTTTTCCAGCCCCTACCAAGTGGACTAACGACAACAGCTTTCGGGGAAACATCCAAGATTTCTGGATCCTTCCATGGGTATGCTATTTTTATTATTTTATTTTATTGTCCTATCTGTTCTCAAGTGATCACACTAGTACGAACCAAGAACTAGCCTGCTTACAAGGTTTACAAGGAAAAAGTAATAAGAATTTTAAGAAAAAGCGTCAGTGGGGTAGCTCAGAAGAATGCTGAGTCTAGGATGAGAAGGGGGAAGAGGACTCGGGAATGGCTAAAGGCTCATGGGAAAGACTGTGACAGTAACAGGCAGAACAGTGATACTGTTGTAAAACCGAGTGCCTCCTTCTGCCTGGCAATCCCAGAGCGGGTGCTACTGGGCTAACGCCTGAAAATTTAAACTTGTATCTGCCAGATCTAACCTACACAGAAAACTTGTGTTTTTTGGAGAAGTTACCAGAGGATGGTTTGTTTCCAGTAGTTGTTACCTCATGTTTTCTTCCTTCACCACTGAGGCACAGACTCATAGGAACTCTTAATACAGCAAGAGGACAGCGGACTTCCCTGGCGGTCCAGTGGTTAAGACTCTGGGCTTCCAATGCAAGGGTTGTTGTTTCGATCCCTGGTCGGGGAACTAAGATCCCACATGCCATGCAATGTGGTCAAAAAATTTAAAAAAAGAAAAAATGAGGACAGTATTCTTCTGCAGAAGGGCCTACGACTGGGAGGACAACCAGAACTGAAGACTAAGACCTACTGCTCCACCCAGGCCTGTGCACAGAATGACACCTTTTCCAGGTGCCAAGAACACTGGAGAAATCCGTCTACTGGGCACTACAGTGACCTTGTGTAAAATAATGTAGTAACTTACTTAGCAAGCTGCCATGTACAGAACGTGTTCAGAATCATTATTTAATCCTAGTTTTCTGGACTGAGCATTAGTCTCATTTTAAAAAGAGGTGTGACTTGGCCAGGATCACATACGTGGGTCGTGTTTTAGCTCCAAGTCCAGCACTCTTTGCCACACTCATTACGTACACAGTTGACCCTTGAACAACACAGGTTTGAACTGCATGGGTCCACTTACATGTGGACGTGTTTCAATAAATAATATAGTACCTGTATTTTCATTTTACAGATCTTTAAGGTACATATGGGGAGAAGTGAGTGTTTGACCAGAGATCACAGGACATGGAATCAAAGAAACTAAGGGTTGAGTCCTGACCCTCTCCACACTGTTTCAGCTTCCTGCCCACCCCTGGGTGAGTCATTTACCAATTCATTTGTTGTTGAGGCAGAGATGGCAACGTGTGGATTTTCGACTGGGGATGAGAGGGAGTCGGTGCCCCTAACACCCACGTTTTCTTTTTTTTTAAACTTTGATATGGACCAGTTTTAGTCTTTTAATTGCATTTGTTACAATATTGCTTCTGTTTTATGTTTTGCTTTTTAGCCAGGAGGGATACGTGGGATTTTAGCTCCCTGACCAGGGATGGAACCCACACCCCTTGCATTGGAAGGCTAAGTCCCGCCCCCCACATTCTCAAGGGTCCATTCTATAAGAGTGAGGCCCTAGACTAGTCAGAATCACAGAAGACAAAACATTACACCAGTTATTTAACTTTTTGAGCCTCAGCTGTAAAATGTAGAGTTGAACTATTTTTAAGATCTTTCACCCAACTATCGTGTTGGGTGGGAGAACCAGAAACTGAATGAGGTGGGTGTAGGGGAAGATGAGGAAAGAGCTTTCACCAGTCCCAGAGGTGGATTATAGGCTTGAGAACCCTGAGGAAACTCATCCCAAGTGACTGCCTTTCTCTTCTTAATGATGGAGTTCCTTTAAGAGAAAGATGAATGAGAGGTGATATATTCTAGGCAATATATTTCCCCTTGAAAAATGCAGAAAGCAAATAATTCTAAAGAAGCTGCATGTATAATATAAAAGAATCGTGCCTATTGTGGAAAAAAAAAATGAAAGCATTTGTATAGGCATTATGGCCCAAGGAAAGTAAAAGTTTATTTCAAAACAGTAACTTCCTTGTAATTGGAGCACTGCCCAAAATTCAACAGTGATACAAATAGAATACATACTTTGACCTCCTAAGAAATTTGTATCAGGCGAATTTTCTGAATTCCTTTTAAAGGCAGAATTTTTAAACCGTAGGAAACAATCAGAAACAATGTATCAACATGTGTAAAATAAGCCACAGTTCAAAGTTCAGCTGAATAACCAAACCATGAAAATCACCTCCAACTAATATTTGCTGTTATTTAGAACACTGCACGTATTTTCAATAACTTAAAAGGGTCTTCACATCTCCTAATCCCCCCAGGAAGGACAACTTTCTTTTCACTAGATTTAAATAATAGATCCAAATATTTACTCATAGTAGGAGGTTCTGACATTAAACTATGTGTGTTTAACAGAAATATAGAAAATCATGAAGATACATGCATTTAAAAATGATCACTTGTAGCAATTCCTTAGAAGTCGTAGAGGAGAAAGGCAGCTGTCTACTTCCTAACAGCACCTAAGGTTTATGCTACATAATATAATTCAGCAGAACACCGTTCTGACCAATGATAAGCAGCTTACAGAAAATTCTTTCTCCTATTCAATATTTCATTATAAAGCTACTATTTGGACCAATATTAAAAATGTTTAACTCCACTATGCTGACATTTCCAGAAGTATTAGCAGCAAGTTATCTTCATGCCATTTATTAAACTGAAAGAAAAAGATGGTATATTCTAGTTTTTACTTTAAAAGAGATTTAATTCAATCATTTGATTCCTCACTATCTGAAAACTACATTTCCTTCCTCAGCACTGGATGGCACTACAGTGAAAACGGTTTCCATGATCCTTGACTTCCCTCTTTAAAGGAAAGCATTATGTAATTTCAGCAGCAAACATTATCTGGTTCCTACTCAAACTCCATCTCCAATCCAAGAAAACGTGAGAGAGAATCTAACATAAAAAGTTCTGTTCAAGGTAAGAAATTCCAATCTCAAAACCATTTCATTCCAACAACCTGGTTATTCCACCTGCTCCATCACTGAATAGAAATGATCACTGAAAACAAATGGCACTGTCAGCACCCTCGTCACCCCCTTGCTAAATCTTACGTCCTGAATACATGCACATAAAACATTTGTACAGATAAATTAGTGTTAAGAATTAAAAACTCACATCTACAAAGGTCCTTTCTTTATTCTGAAATCTATATAATTGTTTTCCAGACTGGAAATCTAAACATCTTGGCTACACATTAAAAACACATCAGAATATAAATATGTTATGGAAAACTTCAGAACGGACCTTCTCTTAAAAGCGAACAAACTTAGAGTGCTTTTGTTACAGCTTAATCCTCTGAGACTTAAAAGGAGACACTAAATTCAGGTATTTACCAAATGGTGTATTAGGGCTGTTCGGCTAATAGAAATCAACACTAACAGCTGAACTAGTAGGACAGTCTTTCTCAGCTCAGTATTAGGAAGTTGAAACATTTTCAATTAAAGCCTTCATTTTTCCTGTAGACTTCAACATGTGTGGCCCAAACTAGAAAAGAAACAAAAAAGACACTGGTTCATGTAACAGTAATGATATGCCCCGCTCCCAATCATGGATCAAAGGTATGTTCTTCATGAAAAACCAAACAGCTACGTAATATTAAAACCTTTATGAATTGACAAGTTGTTATAAACATGACACATCAAAAGAGTGAAAGGCAAAGAGACAACAAAATTACGCCCTAGAAAACTATAATTACCTTAGCAAGAGCCTAGCTTAGTCCAATTTTACTTCTCCGAATAAAAGGAGGAAGGTACAGAGTTTCCTTTTCAATGTCTGAAGACTTTCAGAGATGCTAGAATTTCTAAGATATCTACATCTCTGGAATAAACACATATGCCCCATGACAGTACCCAGAATAGAGGTAATGTATAAATTAATATATTCGAGAGCTTCCATGAATCTGCTCAGTCCCCACCTTCGGCATGCCCACAGCCTGCAAGCCCCTGGTCAAATGTCTCTCCCTCTTCAGGAGACTTCCTCACAGGTGCCCTAAGAGAAAATGATCTTTCCTTGCTATATCAGCATTTTTATTGTCCTCAGATATAAATTTTATTGTAATGAATTTCACTTCATTATACTTAAAATAGCATGAAAAATTTAACACAGGAGACACTAAGCAATGAAACCAGGGGTTAACTTTTGCTTCCTTCTCTGTGCTCTTCTATAATAGGTAATCTAGCTGTAGGTAGGGACTAAATCCTGTAGCATACGTCCTTTTGAATCTTGCAGGCGCACACAGCTGAATGTGTTGCAGCGTGCAGCAGTGAAGTGAACTACCAGGCTGTACTTGGAGAGAACTCTGCCCAGTACTCACCAACACTCTTTCTGAGGTGCCCTCTGATTCAGACTTTGGAATTCCTTTTTCAACTTCACCTTGGCTATCACATCGATACCGGTAAGCAAACTTCTTTCTCAGAGCCTCTGCTATGAGGGCAGCAGGGTCAGCAGCATCCACCGGTTTGGGCTTCGTGTCTTGTGCTGACCTGAGAGAAATGAACATGAACCAAGGGGGCGCTGATCCCTCCGGGAAGCACACGGGGAGCCTGGTGGCACTTCCCTGGCATCAATACACGTGACAAAGACACTGACACATACTGATGCGGCGAAGTGGAAAACCTAGATTTAAAGCTCAATGAAAGAGCACAAAAGTGCCCAGTAACAGTCCCTCAGGTCCTCTCAGGAGCAGAGATTATGTGCTCCTTCAGGGAAATTAGGGTTCCATTCTTCTCCAAAAGCCTGGTGACTACCATAGCAGGGATGCATACAGCTTCACTGGATGAATGACTGCACAGTAATGAAAAGCCTTCAAATGCAGTTGGGGGAGAAACTGGAAAGTTACCTGCAAGTGTTTATTCTGCTAATCTCTTAGGCTCCCGTACACAGTTAACTATCATTTTTAAACTAAAAACTTAGAGCTACTCATGTAGTCATGTTATAAAACAAAGTTCGCAAGAAACCTAGTACTTGGGAGATCGGTTCAAGATGGCACAGTAGAAGGACGTGCTCTCCCTCCTGCAAGAGCACCAGAATCACAACTAACTGCTGAACAACCATCGACAGGAAGACACTGGAACTCCCCAAAAAAGACAGCCCACATCCAAAGACAAAGGAGAAGCCACAATGAGACGGTAGGAGGGGCGCAATCACAATAAAATCAAATCCCATAACTGCTGGGTGGGTGACTCACAGACTGCAGAACACTTATACCACAGCAGTCCACCCACTGGAGTGAAGGTTCTGAGCCCCACGTCAGGCTTCCCAACCCGGGGGTCCGGCAACAGGAGGAGGAATTCCTAGAGAATCAGACTTTGAAGGCTAGTGGGATTTGATTGCAGGACTTCGACAGGACTGGGGGAAACAGAGACTCCACTCTTGGAGGGCACACACAAAGTAGTGTGTGCATCGGGACCCAGGGGAAGGAGCAGTGACCCCATAGGAGACAGAAGCAGACCTACCTGCTAGTGCTGGAGGGTCTCCTGCAGAGGTGGGGGGTGGCTGTGGCTCACCATGGGGACAAGGACACTGGCAGCAGAAGTTCTGGGAAGTACTCCTTGGTGTGAGCCCTCCCAGAGTCCACCATTAGCCCAAAGAGCCCAGGTAGGCTCCAGTGTTGGATGACCTCAGGCCAAACAACCAGCAGGGAGGGAACCCAGCCCCACCCATCAGCAGACAAGCGGATTAAACTTTTACTGAGCTCTGCCCACCAGAGCTACAGACAGCTCTACCCATCACCAGTCCCTCCCATCAGGAAACTTGCACAAGTCTCTTAGATAGCCTCACCCACCAGAGGGCAGACAGCATAAGCAAGAAGAACTACAATTCTGCAGCCTGTGCAACAAAAACCACATTCACAGAAAGATAGACAAGATGAAAGGGCAGACAGCTATGTACCAGATGAAGGAACAAGATAAAACCCCAGAAACCAACTAAATGAAGTGGAGATAGGCAACCTTTCAGAAAAAGAGTTCAGAATAATGATAGTGAAGATGATCTAGGACCTCGGGAAAAGAATGGAGGCAAAGACTGAGAAGACACAAGAAATGTTTAGCAAACACCTAGAAGAATTAAAGAACAAACAGAGAGATGAACAATACAATAACTGAAAAGAAAAATAGAGTAGAAGGAATCAATAGCAGAATAACTGAGGCAGAAGAACGGATAAGTGACCTGGAAGACAGAATGGTAGAATTCACTGCTGTGGAACAGAATAAAGAAAAAAGAATGAAAAGAAATGAAGACAGCCTCAGAGACCTCAGGGACAACATTAAACGCAACAACATTCACATTATAGGGGTCCCAGAAGGAGAAGGGAGAGAGAAATGACCCAAGAAAATATTTAAAGAGATTATAGTCAAAAACTTCCCTAACGTGGGAAAGGAAATAGCCACCCAAGTCCAGGAAGCACAGAGTCAGGATACAGGATAAACCCAAGGAGAAACACACCAAGACACATAGTAATCAAACTGGTAAAAATTAAAGACAAAGAAAAATTATTGAGAGCAGCAAGGGAAAAACAACAAATAACATACAAGGGAACCCCCATAAGGTTAATAGCTGATTTCTCAGCAGAAACTCTACAAGCCAGAAGGGAGTGGAATGATATACTTAAAGTGATGAAAGGGAAGACCCTACAACCAAGATTACTCTACCTGGCAAGGATCTCATTCAGATTCGAGGGAGAAATCAAAAGCTTTACAGACAAGCAAAAGCTAAGAGAATTCAGCACCACCAAACCAGCTCTACAACAAATGCTAAAGAAACTTCTATAAGTGGAACACAAGAGAAGAAAAGGACCTACAAAAATAAACCCAAAACAATTAAGAAAATGGTAATAGGAACATACATATCGATAATTACCTTAAA